TTTCTCTACAGCAGTAGGGTCTACTCTTCCTATTCTGGCAGAACTTAAAGCTATTAAGGAGGGAATTGATTTTTTCTATTCATCGGGTTGGTGTAAGAAGGGAAGACTTATTATCGAAAGTGATTCCAAAAGTGCAGTGGATTGGATTAAGAACCAACAACCTGCCCCTACTTCCTTGCGGGATTTGGTACAGGAAATTGGGGCTCTTATTTATGCTTTGGACGCTGTTCTTAGATGGATTCCTAGGAGCTGTAATATGGAGGCTGATAAGCTAGCTAAGCAGGGGATTGGTTGATTGTCTGTAGATTTTTGGTTTGTATGTTTTGTGCTTTCTTGGGCAAAAAATAAACTTCGAGTCTGTAAGGGTGGTGGTAGTTTTGTAAGAGGTAAACCAATCAGGTTTTTAAATTGGTTTACCCTAAGTCAGTGGTGTTGGTTATGGTTGTTTTTGGGTGTCTTCTGTTTTTCTGTTTTTGAAGGGGTGTTTTTCTGGATGTATCTTATGTAATTTCAGGTGTTGAATAAATTTCTAAGGCACTCTTTTCCTCCTTCCACTGATTAAGGAGCTTGGTTATAAGCTCCTATAATCAAGAAGGGGGTTTTTAATGTGGCCTACAATTCTTATCAAAAAAATTAATTACAGAGCGAGATTAGAAACCACACTGGAACTATTTCCCAGGCCAAGAGACCATTGTTTTGAGCAGCAATTCCACGCTCAAAGCTACGAATAGCATAAGCATCCTGCAAAGAGAACATTATAACATATGGAGAGCATTAATATGCAGAAAACTCCGAAAGATACAAGGTTACCCCTGAAATAGTAATATGCAGGGGGTAAATAAGCAGACAACAGAAATAAGAAAACAATGTAAGCATAAAAATGTATTTGGAAAAGTGGTTTATATACCATTGAAGGAGCAAAATATATGGATCACAAAGACATGGAAATGCTAAACATATTGACCACAAAGAACCCAAACCTGCTCTTCTCGCGTAATGTTATGTTGGACAGCACATAAATCTCCGCATACTCCCATTCCAAAATCATTATAGACATCCCACAACCCATCTTTGAGCATGCCATCTACAATGGTATTATGTCCTATTCGAGATCCATTTCTGCCCACAAATCGAAGATTGAACTTTCAATGGCTTACAACAGCATAGAGATAAAAAGATCAACAAATACTTTAGTGATCTATCCATTTTATTAAGAGCTGCAAGAAGCAGAAAATCAGCTTTTAACCAATCAATAATATTCTATGGTGTAAATATAGGTTCGCTGACATATCCATCAAATGAAGCACCAATCTATTCCTATAAATGAAATTTTCATGAAAAAAATAACCCTCCAAACGGAAGGGACTAATGAACCACCAACCAGTGTTGGGTGCAATGTGAGAGAACCCATTACCCATGTTTGAACCTTGGAGACGACCATGCTGGGACAGGGAGCCCTGAACCCCGAACATGGACCATAAAATGGAAATGTGCTAAACCAAAAAAAGTGACTAATTAACTACATAATGACCCTGACAGGTACAGGGTCTGCAATTTCAGTTCAATGCTTATGTCAGAATACTCTTTGAACTAGTTACAGAATTATTGTTAAGTTCACTAAATTTCATCAACATTTGCAAGACAAAGTACACTCTTAATTCAATGAATTTTGATTTATTTTTTCTTTTTTTTTGCAAAAAAAAAAACAGCATGAAACAATTCAAGACTGAACAAAAACATGGATGCACACCTTGCGTCTACCAAATACTTGGGTGCGTTTGACATGCTTTCCATACCACCAGCAACCACAACATCATTGATGCCTAACTGGATAGTTTGCGATGCAAGAATCATCGCTGGGATAACAAGGAATAAACAATAAGGCATCAAAGAATCAACATCCTTCAATGCAGAAAGAGGATTTTACCTTTCATCCCATATGAACAAACTTTGTTAACAGTGGTGCAAATGACGGAATTTGGAATACCGGCACCTAATGCAGCCTGTCTAGCTGGAGCCTGGCCTAAGTTTGCACTAAGAACATTCCCAAAGAAAACCTCCTGCACAAGTGACGGATCAAGGTTTGCCCTTCGAAGGGCAGCTGCATATTTGGGGGGGAGCACTAATTTGAAGTAAATACATTCACAGGAAGTTGAAAAAATGGGGTTTAGGAGTTTACCCTTGATGGCTAAGGATCCAAGATGGGTAGCAGAGGAGGAAATGGAGCCAAGGAAACCACCCATTGGTGTACGAGCAACGCCCACGATACAAACATCTGTGTTAAACATAGTCAACCCAAGGTAAAAACGTTATCATCTCAGCTGTGATCTTGTAAAGTGGGGAAGGTGATCCAATCAGTTATGGTTATATAGACCCACATAAATTAAAAAGTTAGTAAGAAACAAAAAAAATCACATTTGATAGAAACAAAATTAGAACTAGCTTAGCTCTAATGGGGTCGAGTAAAATGATAAATTGATGGTAGAGAGAGCTGAAGAAACCAAAAAAAAAACTGCAAGTAAACCTCGAGGTCTGAGCATAAAATGTGATGAATTGGGAGGAGCCATCGCAAAAGAGTGGAGATAGCAGATTAATACCCAAGATAAGAAGAAATTGGAAAAGGGGGGTTATTTGGAAGTAAGAAAGAGTTTTTCACCAAAAGACGAGAGATTTGATATATATATATATACAAAGAGAGAGAGAGAGAGAGATGATAAGATCAAAAGGTAAATGGAGAAAGTGGCAAAGGCCAAACGGCCTACCAAATGATCAAACGATCAGCTGGAACTGTCGGCCAAACGGTAGATTATTATCGTCGATCAAAGGGATTTTAAAGTGCAAGGATATGAAAATTTTAGGTTTTAAGATGATAGTAAAAGTTACGATCGGTTAATGGGTGATTGATAACGTATAAGTGGCCGTTCGTTGATGGATGAATAGTTGGAGATAACTGACGATTGGAGTAAAATGGAGTAGAATAAGAGATTTTTAAAAATTTGAGTTTTTTTTAGATTTTAAAATTTTTAATATGTTTCTTAAAAATAAATTTTTAAGAAACATATAAATGTGACACGTGTCATTTAACTATCGTTTTTAATAATCATTACAGCCGAACATTTAAAGTGATAACATTTATAATATTAGACACTTAAATAAATTAAAAAAAATTAAACATCTATTTAAAAAAAGCAATATAATTTTAACACTTATCTTCCTATTAAGCCTTATATTAAAAGTATCATTTAAACATATCTTATCTCTTTGTTATATTTACTATACACGTTTATACTCTTTACATTAACCTGTCACCGTCATTATCTACTCCACAGATAATTGATAATACAACAACGCACATATTGTATTTTTTTTCCTTATAGACACAAGATACTTCGTAAATTTCATTTATATTTTGATGCTTCTTATATTTAAAATATTATTTTAAGCTTAAAATTTTGTTTAAAGCAGTACATATGTTATACAATTGGACAAAATAATAAACTTATCGTACGATCTAAATTATTAAAAAGGGTATTGTTTTCTTAAAAATCTGAGTTTAAATAGTTGTGTTTGTTGATACGTGTCGTTGTCAATAGTTAAAAAATCAAAAGTATAATATTTTATAATCATTTTAGACTATTGAGAAAAAAAATTTGAATAAGATAATATTAACAAATTAAAAAAAACAAAATAACATTCAAATTCTATGTAAAAGCTACATATGAAAAAAATTATGGTAAATGATAATAAATTTACTATAATCAAAATTATATAATTTATATATTTTTTCTCAAAATAATTCTTCATCGAGTGGATTATATTATAATTTTTTTGGTAAAATTCGGATCACAATATCTGTTATAAACTTATATAATTTTCTATACATCTATATTCTTGTGTCTATATACATATTTAGACAGTGTTGAATAATTTAGGGTAAAGTATATCATTTTTCACTGAATTTTATTATCTCTTTTATTTTATTTACTATACTTTTAGATTTTTTTAATTTAATCACTAAACTTTTGAATTACTCCTATTTTGATCACTCTGTATTGTTTAATATTATTTTGTTATGATATGTCAGTTTTATTATTATTTAATATAAATATATTTTAAAATATAAAATAAAAACAGAAGGTGGTTATTCACTGTTCGTTTGCGTTGGACACCATCATTGACGGTTGTAAACGGTGGTTGTTTAGTCTTATATTTCATCGATCTCTTCGTCTCGACCCTCTAAGTCCAAATCTGACCTCCATTTTGTCGGAACATGCTCCGAATCTGATAAAAAAAATGAGAAAACCAAAATGCAAATAGTCATCGACAACCGTAGATAGTGGTCCTTCGGTCCCAAATTTCATGGACCGCTTTGCTTCGACCCCTAATTTGAATTCGACCTCTATTTTGTCGGAACATGCTTCAAAGTCCACGAATATGAGATCGAAAGTGAGGAAACCAAAATGTTTCAATTGAGATTCATGGTTTTTGGGGCATTTTTTAGTTAAACAACCACGAGATTCGAACTCGAGGGTCTAGACAAACAACCCATGAAATTTGGACCAAACGACTACCGGTTCAAAAGGCCAACGATGGACGGTGGTCGATGATTATTTTAAATCTTTTTAAAATTTAATAATAAAAAAATATTATTTTGATTATTTATTTTAAATTATTTTTATATTTTAATAATAAAAAAATATCACATCATTCCAAAATAATAATAAAATAATTCAGAATTATCAAACCAAAAGCAATTCGAACGTTCGGTAGTAAATTAGAAAAATTAAAAGTACAATAAATGAAACAAGAGAGAGAATAAAGTTATGGTGTAATTAATCTTTTAATTTAATATGTTAATTGAATTTTAATTCGACTACATCAAAATTGGTGCAATATATATATAGCTTGAGCATCGAAACAAAACAGCTGGACCCTCTTGTCTAGAATTCATTAAAACCAATTGCTGAAACACAAAGTAAAATAACATTCAGGATGGCTTATATTTGGGTCAAGTTTTGGCTGCCATTGCAATCCTGAAAATTACAAACAGGGATTAAACAAACAGAGTTTTCATTCCACCACAGGTTAGTTTCAAATCACCTATTTTAAGCCTGATTACCTAAGCTAATCTACACTGGAAGCTTCACACATTCAAACCATTCTACCTTATATATGCCCACACCGACCTTAAGTTCTTTAGAATCAACCCCAAAGGCCAAAAGACCAGGACGAAAGCCGAGCCTGATCCCCCCAAAAACACTACGTCATCAGCAGATAGCTCAACTATCTTGAAGACCTGTCGCATACCTCAATTAACCTGACCTTTAGCTCTATCTGCCCGGACTCGACTGTGCGAAGCCTTAACCAAACACTCTGAACTACTTCACCGTTTATAGAACTAATAGAACTCTCTCTAACGAGACAATTATCAGTGTCAGGTACAACCTTCCTCAATGTCATCTCACCAGAAGAAACTCGGAGGGCATGGCTCAATCTAGCAGCAGAGACAAGTGGCTGAAGGTTTAGATAAGCATGTCCCATCTTGTCATCAGCCTTGAAACGGTCTTTGTCAAATACTTCCTGTGTAGAAAAGCATATTTCGTCAATTCTTCATAAAATCTAGTGCTATCAATTAATTTATTAGCATCTTACAAAGTAGTTCATCACTGGTATAAACTTTCTTTTTAGGAAAATTAGACAAACAATAACGTTAAGGCAGAAAATTCAATCTGTTTTACAGATGAAGTCTAAAATGATTACTATTTACTGCATGCTGGATGTTGTTGCCTTTTTCACATCGAAACTGAGATGTCAGTTGGAATATATAAATAGGATGTAGAGTAAAGAATCTGAATATCAACAAGATATCAAAAACATCAAATATCTTCAACTCTTTAGAGGAATCCTTAGACAGCAAATTTCTGATCAAATATCTCCAACTATTTAGAGGAATCTCCAGGTAACAAATTTCTGAAATTCCGCATCTCCCAGCCTAATAAAATCTCAACTCACCGACATTCAGTGAATACAGATAACACTCCAACAAAAGCAGGCAAAATGAATAACTTAGGTGTAGGCAGTCATAAACCAAAAGGCAAAAGGTGAACCAAAACCAAATGATTCAAGACAAGAGGAAAAGTAAATACATCGTATGCAAATATATTGATTCTAATCAAACCAGCTTGAATAGGATAACCATGGATCAGATATATTAAACACCCGGTAAAGGTCAGAACAAAGAAAAATGATCCCTATACCAAAGAACAAAAGTGTTATATGATAGGGTATGATAATTGATAAGATAAGGAATCAAACATGTTGAACAGAATACTTTTGAAGTACAAATATAAAAAACTTACCAAATTTAGAACACCAACAAGCTCAGAGAGGGAGAAAGTAAGCTCTTCATTCCATACTGGATTGAGGCAACTGTTGATAACCTTAGTTTTTGCCACCTAGAGTTGTGAGAATGTAAATCGAGAAACTTGTATAAGCAATCAAAACCAAAGGAGAAAGAAAAGATAGTCAGGGAATGAAAATGACGCCAGCCAACAATGGCTAAGCCTTTGTCAAACAAATTGGCGGCACTAAAAGCTCCGCTCATTAAGCTAGAAAAATTAGAGAATCCAACAATCTGTATGGCTGATAAAAAAAGACCATGAAAGAAAAGAGCAAATCATATGGTCTTCTTTTCTCTGTCTTCTTTTAACATTGATTCAAAAAACACAGAGCAAGATAAAAACAGTAGCTTTTGATACAGGATAATGGGAGGACTATAGAATTAGCAATGCAAAACATGAGTTATGCAAATTGTTTGAATGGTAGAATATCATCAATTTTACAGAACACCCACAACATCAGCAAAACAGTGTACCGAAACAAGGGAAGTATAAGATATTGACAAGTATGGTAAAAAAATGAAAATAGGCTAAACAAACCTGATCACCGAGCTTGACTACAACATAAGGATCACTGCTCTTGAAATCCCTGATAACCAACCTTTTACCTTGCACAACCACCACTTTTATCAGCCCCAAAAGCTCCCCCATTTGTTTTAATTCTATAACAGCACAAACTTCTGAGAAGAACCCAATTTCCAACCCAGAAAGAAACTGATTGGAAAAAACAATAAATTAAGCCGAAATAATTCATAATTTGCAGGGAAAGCAAAGAGATAAGCATAGCAAAGGATGAAGAGAGGGAGAAATTTAAAAAAAAAACCCCATCAAAGATGGTGCTGTAGCGAAGCAGATCCAAACATAAAAGAGAGAGGTTACCGTTTACCTTTGTTTCAAGTGGTATCCAAGGGTCGATAAAGCTGATGCTCGATCAACTTAAATCGCTTTCAATAAAGAAGCAAAGGGGAATCTCTTAGCTTTAGCAAGAGTAGTAGCCTAACGAAAATCACCGGTTAGATTAGGCAGTAAAAGGCGTAGAACAAAGTCCACCTTGGAATTCAAAAAGGCAAAGGAAATTAAATTAACAACCCACGTTCATACAATTACCAAATACCACAACATGAAATGCTTTGGTTAGACCTATATATACATACATGGTCATGACCCTAAACGTTAAAAGTGCTGGATTGGATAATTTATTTTTGATAAGGATTTTTTTTTATTACAGTTAATCAGATTGTATCCATAGTCCATATTATGCCTAGTATTATTAGGCACAAATTTAGAAGGCGATGATCAGACTGGGCCTGGTCTTTGGTTTCACACTCTCCCTTACTCGGTTTGTTGGGTCTAAATCCATCTGCTTCTGCTCCCGTTCCCTTGTGGTCTTCCCTTTTGACTCTGACATTTCTCTTTTCCAGGCGCCTTATCTTATAATCCACTCTCTCTCTACCTAATCGAAATATTTCCGGATTAATTACATTAATAGTCACTAAACATTTTATTAATTATGAAATAATTCTTAAATTATTATTAATTGATCTTATACAATTACCGTAACGTTCTCACATTTCGAATGTTCCTGTAACCGATGTCATTCTTGGCTAATATAAGCATTCTGCTTTCCCTCAAAAAAATTACCTTACACTCGTAGGTGACTCGGTAAAGTTTTCCTTTATCTATGAAGAAAAGGGAAAACTACTGCAGATGTTCACGACCGTGCATTCACACTAATATTTGAATTGACGAAATTTTGATTCACACAATGCATCAAACAGTTTGTGTTCACATTGCCAGCCGCTGGCTGAGCAAACGACGATGAAACAATAATCAATTTGACAAGTCAAATAAACTAGTGAAACAATCCCCAAAATAGAACCAACTATACAGAGTGCCCTGTCAATTTGATGCAACTACACCTTGGAATCTTCTATCTACACCACCCATGCACTAAAGTTTCACCCCAACACAGGGAATATGCCTACAGTTAATTTTACAGCACGTCCTCTACAATGTTCTAGTCTAGGTCTAGGGCGACTACTCGGACATTTATTACTGTGTTTACATAAGGTCAGATGGATATCATCTTCTGCAATCTTGTTAGGTTCTTGCTCAGTACTTGAACAGACACAGCACCGTCTTTGTTTACCACTTCTACTGAGGAAGACTGCTACTGAGGTTCCACTTGCTCTGCATTTAAGAAAAGAAAAAATGATCAAATAGAATCAAGTTATAAGACAAATAAGGAACTCCATTGAACACAATGCTAGATGTAGATTACAAGGGGCTCATCGTCAGATATCCCAGCATCCGCAACATCTGAAGTCGGGGAAGGTCCTTCCGATGATTTTTTCAAGATTGGAGATTTACTCTCAACATGATCACTTGCTTGAGTGTTTTTGGATTCGGATACAGTTGCTTTAGTTACGGGTTCTCTATAGTCTTCACTTAATTCATCAGGTGATTTCTCTTGCTCATCCAACTTTTGAGGATTTTCTGGTCCAGAATGATTCCCATCAGCATCAGATTTAACTTTATCCAACTCCTCGGCATTATTAGGGCTTCCATCTGTATCTTCTGAACTTCTCCCTTTGGAAACTGAAGCCACTTCCTTCCCAGATTCTTCTCTATCCAATCGGTTTGCATCTACCACACCGGTGTGTGCTCCTTCAGATTCAACAGGGAAAAAGGAAATAAACATGCGTTTAATGACGTGAAGGGGGAAAGAGAAATAATAACCAACAAACAATACCCAAGTTCATCTTACGATTTTCATTTGCAGCATTGGACTTGGATTCTGACACACCAGTGTTCTCTTCATCGTCGTTCAACATGCTCTTTTGAGTATGCTTCAAGTTCTTCTTTGGTGTCCTTTTCCTCTTCGGTCTGCGAATAAAATATCAATTAAGTTCACAAACCAATTGAAGACAAATAGCTTCTTATTGTATTGGCGTTTTACTCACGTCTTTACTGGACTCTTTTTCTGACGTGAACCACCTGAGCTCTTACTTTTCTGCCCAGGAGACCTGTCAATAGTACAGCAATCAAGTTATGAAGCAACATAAGAGTTAATTACTAAATATTGAGAACAAGTCATTCTCAAAACAAATGTGATATGAGTTCACTCTCTAAGTTAGTACCTTAAATTTTTTATTTCTTTTGTTGGGAGTTTTTTTTGGAAGGGGGTGGAGGGGAATACGAAATACAAAACTATACAGCAAAGTGAGATTCAGAAAGAATTATCTAAAAAACACATTAGTTAATAGCACATACGCTTCCTTCAGAGGGCTCTTGGTGACTTTCGATGAATTTGCCTTCTGTCAAAAATGCAAGTGAAACAGATATAGAGTAAGCTCAAATAAAAATCAAAACGATTTTAGCCTGAGAGTGCATGCAAGATGTGAAGTCTTAACCTTTCCAGACTTGCGGCCTGTGCCAATGAGCTCCCATCGCTCTCTTTCCAGACGAAGTACTTCCACATCTCCATCGTCATATAATATCTAAGGAGAAAATACATATGATTAACAGTCGGTTCACTGTGACACAAATGTTAAAATGTTAATTCAAGTTGGAATAAAACTGCATCTTACCACATGCTTCTTCTTTATAGGGTCATAAGACTTGACTGTTCCTTCATAAAACCTGGCATTTCCAAAAGTAAGATACAACAGTAAAGAACCTCTATAAGGATTAATGTTATGCAAAGTGATAATGCACCGGTTCAAATAGAATATTGCACATTTACAACATCGTGGAGGCAGTTGAAAAAAACTTTACAGACTAGAAAGAAACTAATACTCACGCAGAAACTGTGAAGTTGACCGGATAAGCACAATGTTTCATATACAATGCTAAACATAAAATCAAAAAACCTTATCTGCTATAAGACCAGCACACTTTTTTGAATAAATTTTGGCCCTTGTTAAAACAAATAAAAAAAAAAGATGATGAATTTGCAAGTCTGACATTGAAATAGTCATACAACACCAACAGAGAGCACACACTAATTTTCAGAATTTCAACTGTAACCAAATGAAGCCTCATTCAAATTCTCAAGACACATGAATGCAACATAAATAACAAAGAACAGCAAAGTTATTTAATCTATTTCACAGCATGATTCTCAGTAAACTTTTAGAATCTGCTGCAAAGAACAGCAACAGTTTTGATTACTTACTGCTTATCCATAGGCCACCACACTTTTATTCTGTCGCCAATCAAATCTGCAATATCAATTCCTTCTTCCTTGGTTGAGCACTGAACAAAAGAAACAAAGAAGATCAATAATGAACAATGGGCCCAAAACCAAGAGGATTTAAACGGAGAAAAAAAAAGCCATTCTAAATGTTATAGGACAATGCTTATAAGGCAACAATGCCACAATACCAAGAGGATTTAAATGGAGAAAAAAGAAGCCATTCTAAATGTGTTAGGACAATGCTTATGGGGGAACAATGCCACAACAGAACTGCAAAATTCAAAAAGTAGATTACGATAGTGTGCATCTGTGCTAAATCTCAACAACAGAGAGAGAAGCAAGGCAGGTGCTTGAAACATATCCAAATATTATAACACAATAAATTCAGCTAAAGCATTACAAAATGCATGAAAGCAATACCGAGACATAAAGGAGAGGGAGTGAGGGAGGAACCTTCGCTAATCCTGCAATGCTCCTCTTCTGCTTCTTGCTAGATCCAGCAGCAGACTTGCTGATCTCTGACTTCTGCATGGAGATATAAAACAGGTATCACAACAATGAACTGTGAGAACATAAAATGAGTGCATCATTGGACCCTGACAGCAATTTAACCAAGTGAAAAAAAAATCACCTCCAGAATTTCATCATCAGCTTCATCTTCCTCGTCCTCATCACTATGACCCCAGTCAGAGCCTTTGCCTTTGCCTTTGCCTTTGCCCTTTGATGAGGAGCTTCTTTTCTTCCGAATGCTTGGCGCCAAGTAGTCCGATTCATTATTCTCATTCCATCTTTTGCGTGCAGGCATTTTCTCTTTTGAATTATGTAATTTATCAATGTCCATTTCCATAGACAGAAACGAGGAACCTTTCGCTTCATGCCAGTCACCTCCTGAATCCCTTGAAGGGAACTTAGAAGAACTTCTAGAAATCTTGAAAGCACTATGTGTAGATGACGACCTCTTGCGTTTAGGCACTGGGACAGAAGCTGCAACATTGTCTTTTCTCTTATTACCTTTCTGATGCTCCTGCTCAACTTTTTCTTTCTTGGTAGAAAAATGTTTATGACCATTGGTTGATTCAAACTTACTGGACATCTGCAGACTATCCAAATTTATTTCTCTCACCATTTTCAAAATATAAACATCATTTTCTGCATCTTTTGCTTCTACCGAGGGAGACTTGTTCTTTTTAGCCTTCCGAGCCTTGGCTTCTTTAGATTTTAATTGCTTGATTATTTTTCTGAGAGGCACTTCATTTCCTTCAGTTTCACTATCTTTGAGTGCCTCTTCCTTGGAAATCTCTTTCTGAATCAAATATGTTGATAAAAGGAGAGCAGGAAAAGTTAGTAAACAATGTAACACGAAATACCAAAGTAGTCACTATTTTTTTTTTGATAGGAAAAGTAGGTCTCATAAAAACCTCCTTCTAAGTAGCCCTTACCATGAGGTCAGAACCTACTAGGGGAAGGAGGAATAGAGAACCTTAATATATTGATAATGTAAAAATTACATAAAACTAGAACCACTCCTTTAAGATACATAAAACTTAAGCACACTCTTATAACGCCTTGATTAAAAACCTCCGAACTCAGTACTAAAAAAGTGACCCACTACCCAATCCCCTCCTTTGCAAGCAAATCTGCCTCGCAATTACATCTTCTCGGAATCCACCTCACAATGACCTCATACTCAGAAACCGCATCCGCAATATCCTTGACAAAATTTAAAAGAAAAGGAGGAACTGACTCCTGATATTTCAACCACTCCACAGCTAGCTTGCAATCAGATTCAATAATAAGCCTTCCCTTCAATACCCATTCTGATGACACAAAGATGTCTATTCCTCTTTTGATAGCTTTTAACTCTGCTAAAATAATAGGAGTAGGCCCTATTTTTTCTGAAAACGACATCAATTTAATCCGATTCCAATCTCTAAGAATGCCCCCAATTCCTGCTAACAACCCAACCCTACTAACTGCTCCATCCACGTTAAACTTAAAAAAATCGACTGGAGGAGGACTCCAGTAAACCACAGGCCTGTTCGAATCAAGAGAAGCTGAAATATTATCAGCCAATGAAGGATCACCAATTAGAGAGTCCACTTGAATAGAGGATAAAGGATACTTAGCTAGGAACCATTTCGCAAGCCTTAACCTGACTGTGAAAAACAATGAGGATGTGTCCAGCTTGCCTCTTTCAAAAACAATTTCGTTTCTCATCTTCCAAATCGACCATAAAACAGCCCCCGGAATAAACTTCCACATATTAGAAAATGGCCTAAGAACAGACCATGAAATTATAATTGATGAAGGATCAGTAGGTAAGGCTAACTTGATACCCCAGTAGGCTATGATTCTGTTCCATAGTACCCAGGAAAACTGGCAGTAAATAAACAGATGCTGAACTGATTCCTCTGCTTGATTGCAAAAGGGGCATAGAGAGTCCTCCCCTAAGTGAACCCCCCTTTTCTTCAATTCCCCTCTAACCGCTACTTTATTAAGTGATAGTTGCCAAAGGAAAACCTCTACTCTAGGAGGAACCAGACCTTGCCAAACACATTTGTTCCACCTAAAGTTATCCTCATCCACTGAGTAGAAAGATTTCGTGCAAGCTTTAACGGAATACAAACCCTCGCCCGCACCAACCCAAAGCATGCAATCCTCCAAAGATTCATTTAATTTGATAACATTGAGCTTGTCCAATAGATCAACCAGCTGAGCCACTTCCCAATCGCATAGATTCCTCCTAGTCTTAATATTCCACTCCCAACCATTCAAATCAAAACTACCAAATTCAGCAACCTTACCCCCTTGATTTGTTGACAGAGCAAAAATCCTAGGAAAAAGAACTTTCAATGGAAAATCCCCCAACCATGTATCTTTCCAAAAGAAAATCGAATTGCCATTCCCAACTTGTAACCTCGCATGAGATCTAATGCATCCTCCAAAGAAATCATCCTTCATGTAGCTATTCACAATACCTCTCCAAATCCAAGAGTCCTTATGGGAGGAGACTTTATTGACATCCATAGAAAGACAACTAACACTATGTTTAGAACATAAGAACTTTTTCCACAAAGATTCTTTTTCGTTGGCAAACTTCCACACCCACTTTCCCAATAGTGCTCTATTAATAAGCTTCAAATCAACAACTCCTAGACCACCTCCACACTTCGGTTTACAAATTTTATTCCAACTCACCCAATGCATTTTCTTCTTTTCTTCTCCTCCACCCCATAAAAAATTCGCCATCAAAGAGTTTAATTTTTGACAGATTTTAGCTGGAATCTTGAAAATAGCGAGATAAAAGATAGGTAAAGAGGATAAAACCGACTTAATAAGCACCAATCTACCGGCCATAGACAAAGAAGAAGCTTTCCATCCCGCCAATTTCTTATCAAAGTTAGCTAGGACTGGCTCCCACAGTTTCTCACAGTTTCTTTTAGCCCCTAGCGGAAGGCCTAAATAGACTGTCGGAAATGAACCAATAGAGCAGCCAATGTCCCTAGCCCAAATTCTCAGTGTGTCCTCCTCCACATTAATACCATACAATTTACTCTTAACTAAATTAAGATGAAGCCCCGTCATAAAACTAAAAATCATCAACACTCGTCTAACGTTTTTAATTTGAGTGATGGAGGCTCGACAAAAAATAATTAGGTCATCCGCAAACTGAAGATGGGTCAAATTGAAACTGTTTTGCACATTTCCAAAAGAAAACCCTTGAAATAATCCTAATTCCACAGCTTTATTTAACATCATATGAAGGAGTTCACCAACCACATTAAACAAAAGAGGAGAAAGACTACATCCTTGTCGCAAACCTTTAGCAATATGAAACTCTTTTGTAGGAGACCCATTCAGTATAATAGATATAGAAGCTGTAGAAATACACTTATTTATCCAAGAACACCACCTTTCTCCGAAGCCCATCTCCTTCATAAGCCTTAACAGAATCTGCCAATCCACGGTGTCATAAGCTCTGCTAAAATCCACTTTGAAAACAACCCCCTGCAGCCCTTGTTTCCTCCAATAATCTATGCCTTCATTTGCTAAACAGGCGCAATCCAACAATTGCCTCCCCGGAATAAACGCAAACTGTGTAGGGCTAACAATATCTTTAACACAAGAAGAAAGTCTTTTCGAAAGAACCTTAGAGAGAATCTTATACAAGCTGCCCACTAGACTAATAGGTCTATAATCTTCAATACTCTCAGGATTACCTTTCTTTGGAATCAAGGTAATAAAAGCATGATTCACTCCATGAACCCACCGCTTTCCATTGTAGAAATCTGAAAAAAACTCCATAATCTTCACCTTCAACAAATTCCAATACTTCTTGTAAAAACCCATTGTGAAACCATCCGGCCCTGGTGCTTTTGCACTATCCGAAGATGAAATTGCTTGCCACACTTCTTGCTCTGTAAACACCTCTTCTAGAGAATCACTTTGAACTTGAGACAACTGTTTAAAATCAAAATTCAAGCCCTCAACTTCCAGTGTAGTTTTTTCATTATATGCATTCTTGAAAAACTTAAACACACTGTCTTTTATCTTTTCTGGATCCGAAATAACTTTGCCTTTAAAATTGATCGAATGAATAGTGTTGAATCTATTCCTTTTCAATGCACTAAGATGAAAAAACCTTGTATTCCTGTCTCCATCTTTAATCCATCTGTTTCTAGATTTTTGAAACCAAATTCTCTCCTCAATCCTTAACAGTCTCCATAATTCCTTTTTAGACTCAATCAATTGTGCCCAATCCCCTGCAGACTGCTTTCCACCTTGACACTTTAAATCCAGACTGTTAATTTTAATTTCCAGCAACGAAATTGACTCTGACAGCCCTAAATGTCCACTTCCAGACCAGTTTCTGATTTCATTTTTGCACCCTGCAGTATTCTGAAAATTCCACCACTATTGTTCTTCTTCTCTTCTACTTCCAGTGAGTCTGCAACTAAATCATCAAAACCTTGTTCTTCTAATAGAAAATTAAAGAACCTAAAAGGTTTTGGACCCCAATTTGTAGATTTATCCTCCAGCAAGACTGGATTATGGTCTGAAATAGATTTCGGTAAAATCGACTGCACAATGTTAGGGAAAATCTTAAGGAATCTTGCGCAGATAAGGAACCTATCCAATTTCACCCATGTTGAAGATTCTCTATTACTGCACCAAGTGAAAGAACCTCCTGACATAGGCAAGTTAATGAGATTGGCTTTTTGTACGAATGACCTGAAAATATCCATAGTATGCCAATTTTGTGATTTGCCTATCTTTTCTTCTGAATCAAGATACGCGTTGAAGTCTCCCCCTAGACACACTGGTAAATTTAGAGCTCTAACATACTTCAGCAACTCCCCATAAAAAACCTCCTTCTCAGCTTCGACTGGAGGCCCATAAACATTAATAGCTACAAACTCCATAGAACCATGCTTAGATTTTCCTACTAACGCCAGAAACCTACTATGCACAAACTGATCAATGACTTGAACCACGTTCTCATTCCACAATGTAATCAATCCCCCCGATGACCCCTGTGCTGGAGAAACCAACACCCCCTTTAACAAGTTACCTCCAATCCTTCTAAAAATCGCCCCATGGCATCTTTCCAACTTAGATTCTTGAATGAAAAGAAAAACTGGTTTCGTCTTCTTGACTAACCTTGCTGCAGCTACACACTTCTCCCTCCTCCCAAGACCCCTAATGTTCCACGAAATAATACTAAAATTATTCATAAAAAAGAATTACTCCCCCTACACTCAGCTAAAACTGAGCAGCCTTCATCCACCCCTAACTGCATCTGTCTCTTGACCAAGACATAATAATTTATCAATAAAAGCCTCCTTCCCTTCCTTAAATGAAATACCTAACATCTCACACACTTCCCAAGTATCCACTGCTTCCTTCAGTAATTCCACAAAAGAGGAAGAAGAAGCAGTCGAAATATTAACCAAGTCAATAGCTTCAGAAATTAAGGCTCTCCTCTTCCTTCTCTTCCTTCTCTTTTCATTTCCTTTCCCTGAAGCATTCACAGAAATAGCTTCCACCCTTTCAACACCATCATTACAAATGGTAGGGACCGTAGATGTATTCTGAAAATCGGCAGAACCATTGAAGTCCTTATCTTGTCCCTTTCCAATACTATTCGTAGGAAACTGCTGTATACTTCTAGGAACAGAATTGTTCTGCTTAAGCTTCGGAGAAGCCATGGGACAGAAGACATCATCTTCAATAGCTGGACACAACCATATTCTTCTATCTCTTGACCTTTTATAAACTCGGGCATAGCGTCCTCTTCCCCTTCTGCCAACAGGAGCACTCCTAATTGACAAACCTATCATAATATCTTCATCTTCCATATCCCCATTTTTTCCTTCTTCTATTGATACACTTCTTTCTTCTGCAAAAAATTCAGACAGATTCTGCTCCTTATTCTTGTTTGCTAGCCTAGCCCAATTCAACTTCACAGCAGGGCCAGCTGGAATAATTTTAGTAACAGGAGAATAAGCCTCCCAATTAGACTCCGAATGGGCTGAACTCTGGGCTGCAACCTCTCTCAGCCCAAGGCCTGCAAACTCCCCCCTGGTATTTAATTCAAATTCAAACTTGTCTGACACCCCATTACTATTGGGCAGAGTGTCTGACTTATTTTCCAAATCCTGATCTCCACCTTCTTCTAACGTCCTCCTTTCTTGACTTTTCTGAAGCCACGTGTCAACTTTTGACCAGAAACCTTCCGCAGAGTTCTCCCTGTTGTCTCCTACCTTATCTTTGTTTCTACCATCTTCCTCCTTTGACACTTCGTCATTGCAGTTGCCAAATGACACAGTCTGCCTCACGTCTCCATAAGCTTCAGAGAAAGCATTAGAGCTGGATCCCACATTAACTTTAACTTTAAACGATCTGCCATAAGATCCTACAATAACAGATTCTTGTACATCGAACGGACTTGCCACCCTTAGCAGCATTCTAGCCGAAGAGAGGTCATCTCTGTTTCTTGTTCCCTCCGGGATACAAACAACCTTTCCCCACTTTCCTCCAAGCTTCTCTAGAAAAGGAATACTCCAACTAAGAAGCGGTAACCCAACCAACTCGACCAAGCAATAAGCCAAAGGGACTCCATCTTCACTCAACAATGGATCTACCCAATCAAACCAGCAGTAAAGTTTCTCTCTAAGACTCGACCACGCCTTCAGGAACTCTTCATTTGTATTGAAGATAATAATGCATGCGTTCCTAACATATCCCCACTTTACTATCTTGACCTGGAACCCCTCTTTTGCCAAAGCTCGCACCACCATAACAGGCTGAAATGTATCTTTAAAAATCCCTGTTAAGGAATTTTTCACCCAGCAAAAATCTTCTGAAGGGATGTGCATATCCCAGACATTTCTTACTCCTTTTGCTTTCTTCTGACCTTCCCTGTTCACCCTTCTTTGTTGATCCACACTCCTACTGTTATCCACATTCACAACCTCCTTATACGTTCTGCCATCTCTCAAACTTCTCGGTGACTCCAAGTCAACCTGCTGTCTGCCATTAGCTTCTCTACATGGCTTAATTCCTTCCAGCTGAGATCTTTTAACCTCTGCATCTCTCTTCCGGCCCCTCTTATACTTAGCCACCCCCACAGTGACTCTCTTCCCATCAATCAACGTTCCATTTACATTCATAACTGCTCTTCTGCAACCTTCCTCCACCGCATATTGCACAAAAGCAAACGTTGATGACTTATAATTCGTTTTAACCATAAAACTTGGGATAAAGACCCTCACTATTCTACCATAATGGTTGAAAATCTCTCTTAACTCACTTCTGGTAACTCTCTTACTAAGATTTCCAACAAAAACAGTCCATTCCTCACCGGAGAATGAATGACCAAACGCACCCGCTCTCTTTCTCTCTCTACTTTTCTCACTCATGGTCATACCCCACTGTACTTATTCAAAGGAATGGATATGAAGAAGGGCTGATTTTATTGGACGGTTTACAAGTGATTCCCAAAGTAGTCACTATCATACCAGTATGGAAGTACTCTTTCGTTCTAGTACATACCACACACAACCAATGTATTTCGTTGTACCATTTAAAATTTGTCATGAAATTTTTCTTTTTTTTATATACATTTATAGCTCATTTTCAAGTTCTGTTGTGTATTACAAACAGTTCAACAGTTTAATCGAATAAACATGCTTTATTAAGAGGGGGGGGGGGAAGATCATGAGAGAATATCAGTAGGAATTTTTTAAAAGAATCAACCAAGAGAAAAGATTTTTTTTTTATATTGTGTATCAACCAGTAGAGGGTGTACCAACTGGTATGGACCAGTACAGTATTGTACCAATTCTGAAGAACTTTCTTAAATATGGGTACGTACTACGGTACTTATAGCACTTACAAATCACCATATAGTACCCTTTAGATGAATGAAAGAAAGCATATCATACCGTTTCATCACATTCCAAGTTTAGGGATTCAAAGTGAGACAGGACACTCTCATCAGATAACCATGTTTGCCTTTCTCCATCCTATCAAAATGATGAAATAGCCATAATAAAAAACATTGTGCTAAAATTATAGCTCAAATATGCTGTGCAAATGAAGAAATAAAAAATGTCATTGGCACTATGTAATTGCATGGATGAAGCATAACACTGTTTGCACAAATTATTGACAAGTGGGTTAGCTACACAGAGAAATGGGTGTTATACACATTACAGAATAAATAGCCGGCATCCAAACTCTTAAGTATAAAAGTTCCACTGTTAGGCACAGTTTTTTCCTATCACCACCACGTGATTGAAGTTAAAAAGCTTCAGATAATTTGACATGCAGATCCCCATGGAGAAGTACAGTAAATATGATAAAATGATAAATATGATAGGAGTCTTACCTGGGAATCTTCACCTTCTTTTCTTTCATATGGTTTGTACAGGAGTGGAGGCAGAGAGACTGACTGTATAAGCCCTTGCATATCATCCTCCTTATAAGCTAAACGCCTCATGATCGAAAGGCCAAGGTCACAAATAGCATGTGAATTCTGTGTGGGGGGGGGGAATCATACGAATTAGCTTTTTTGTTTTAATAGGGCTTTAACTTACCTCATCCTCGTGAAAGGCAGAACTGTTAACCTATGAACTAGTTAGAAAAAAACACTGAACCTTCGATTTTATTGCATCAAAAACGTCTTCAGAGTGCTTGATACTCTTAAAGATGGAGAATATCAAAGAAATACTCTCCTTCTCCTTGTTAGCACCAGCTTCTGACTTGGCATCTTCATCTTTGTTCACCAACAAAGAAATGGTCAAGTACAATTTCCTGAAAAATACAGAATAGATGAGTTAAATGACTGAATTTGTATCTCAAACAAAAAACAAAGATTAAGAAGATGCATATACCAGTATGTTAATTCAAATGCTTTGACATCCTTGCATTCATCTGGGTTGGGGCATGAATGATGAGCAAGAACATGGACCAAATAAGGCAGTATGTATTCAGGATATAATATCGAGGAACTTGTATCAGATTGTATAGCAACCTGCCGAACTCTTGCTTGCTGATACATTTGAAAGATATCAGCTAAATTCTGTTTTTCCTGCTGTTTCAAACACAACAGAAAATACCAGTGGCATTCACAAATCACTCCACAAAGGAACAACAATTGGACATCAAACTACACTAAAAAAACAAAGTTCTGCGTGTAAACCTCATCAAGCTTAAGCTCTTTGTATCCAGGCACCCCAAGTAAGAAAGCACAAGCATATTTTGCATCCAAGAGTCTGTCCTTAATATATTGATGAACTTTGCTGAGGAATTGTTTCCTAGCCTGAGGGAAAGAGATCTAGAAAACCAAAAAGACACAAGAGATCGGCAAAGTGAACAGGAAAAGTTAAAGAAAAAAAGATAAATGAAATATATTTCAAAAATGACCTCACCTCCGCTGCCCTCAAGGTTAAATAGAAGATATCAACAGGAATCTTATGATCCCAGTTCCGGGACAGACGAAGAACTGCCTTGGCTGCAGTAAGCCTTAAATGGGCCTTATCAACTAAGCTGAAAGATAGTAAAAACTTGTGCGTGAAATTTGAGCCTCAACAAGCAAAACATTCCAATCAATTGAGGAAACCGACATAGATGTTCAACAGCCAGAAGCAAAATATTAGTAAGTAAAGAAAACAGAGACTGAGCCAGAAAGAGTGAGAAACCTCCATATGTCAGCTATAGTACCTTGATTTTATATCTTCAGATATTTCACCAAAAGAAAGTATGTTTCTAAGGAGCCCCAGAAGGTTATCAATAGCAGGACGAAGATGAGCATCTTTGACAGGCAAGTAGCTCTTAACCAATGTCTTTATCCCGAACACCTGCGGCACACAAACAATATTACAGGCTGAGATATCCATCACAAAAAAATTATAAAAGCGAAAAACCTCGAAAACCAAAAACTCAAACCCGGACTCCATGTTCCGAGAGATACAGACACTGTTGATAAAATTGCTTTTATCAGAAATGATAATAACAAACTGACAACAATCCACAACCTTCAACATGCAAAGTTCGCTTTTGTCATGCCAACATTCTTTTGCACTGCAATCTGCATCCTGAAGCAACAAAGAAGGTTTATGCATGAAAATAAATATGACAGATTAAAAAAAACTAAAAGATACGACATACATTACTGCATCCCAAAATTTTAGTTTTAATAAATTCTTCAACTTCACTCTCTCTAGTTTCAAAAACAGGCATTGCAGTCTGGGCTATACATCCCAAAGACTGAAGTACCGCTGGTAAATGTGTCTTTTCCTCCAGCATGTCCACAAGGCTCTGCAAATTGAGCAATGAAACTGTTGGTTAGGCAAATATATGAAAAAGTGCTATTTGTAATATTTAAAACAAAAATGCAAACACACATTTCGAATATATAACTAACGAGCATAAGTATTGTGTAACCTTATATAAAACGGAGAGAGATTTGAGCCCGTCATCCTTTGTTATTGCTGCTAGTGCATGCACTGCATACTTGGCTTGTCTCCTATTACCTTCTAAACAAAGCCTCTCCAATATAAGATCAATTGAACTGCAAACAAACATTACCAAGATGTTAAGAATAAGGGTAACATACTAACTCTAACAAGTCTAAGTATCCCAAAGTTGCACCTTGATGACACCGCGAGTTGTTCTCGGATGGTACTACCAGCCTTAGCCAAAACATGCAAAATCCCTTCCTTTACAATTTCATTGTCATCTTTCAGAAAATTAATCAGCTCTTCTTCAGTTCCACCCAGAAGCAATGGACTAAATCGTGCAAGAATCTGGAAAGCAGCAAAAGACATTAAAAAACAGAAGTAGAATATGTTCCCAAGAGGAGAAAGAAGAACATAAACTTTATAGGACCAATGTTGAAAGCACTAAACTTGCAAACTCTTATTAACAAGCTGAACTGGAGCATAGGAAAAGAAGACGCTCACAAAAGCAAATACCAAACAAAATTTTTTTTTGATAGGAATAGAATGCCTCTTTAAAAACCTCCCTCTTAGTAGTCCTTTGCCCTAAGGCAGGAACCATCAAGCGGAAGGAGGAAAAGAGTACATCAATTTATTAAAGTTTAAGCTGTTACATAAAACTTAAGAACACTCCACCAAGATACAAAAGACATAAAACACTCCTGAAACACCTTTTCTCTAAAGCATACAAACCAACTAAAGCCACATCAACAATCACCCAATTCCCTCTTTCGCTAGCTTGTCAGCCTCACAATTACAACTCCTAGGAATCCACCTGACAATAGCCTGCTTTAGAGAAACAGAAGTCACAATTTCCTTAACTAAATTAGACATAAAACACAGGGACAGAAACTTGGCTATTGATCCAATCCACTGCTAGCTTTGAGTCGCTTTCGATAATTAGCCTACCCTTCGAAACCCATTCTGAAGAAACAAAAATGTCAATGCCTTTTTTGATAGCTTTCAATTTTGCTAGAATGGGGGTGGTAGGACCGACATTTTCTGAAAACGAAAGAAGAATAACCCGATTCCAATCCCTGAGAATTCCTCCTATTCCAACCATCATCCCAACACAACAAACAGCCCCATCCACATTCATCTTAAAAAAGTCCACCGGAGGAGGATTCCAACAGTACACCATTCTGTTCGGAACCTTAGAAGCAGAAAATTTGTCAGCCAAAGAAGGATCACCAATTAATGAGTCTACCTGAATGGAGCATAAGGGATACTTTGCTATAAACCATTTGGCTAATCTTAAACGAACAGTGAAAAACAATAAAATTCTGTCCAATTTTCCTTTCTCAAAGATAATCTCATTTCTTAGCTTCCAAATTGACCAAAAAACAGCCCCTGGAATAAACTTCCATATAGCAGAATTAGGCCTCAAATCAGCCCACGAAAGGTTGGGAGGGTCTTGTGGTAGAGCTAACCAAATACCCCAGTACCCTATAAGCTTAGTCCACAGTTCCCAAGAAACATGGCAAAAAATAAATAAGTGCCAAACTGATTCATCCCATTGATTACATAAAGGACAGAGAATGTTTTCTCCTATATTAACCCCTCTTCTCAACAATTCCGCTCTCACTGCTAATTTTTGATGGGATAATTGCCAAAGGAAAGTCTCCACTCTAGGAGGAACTAAACCCAACCATACACAATTATTCCATTGAAAAGAATCATCAATAGAAGAAGAAAGAACTCTCCTACATGCTAGGACTTGTTCACACCCAGGAAAAGTAGTTTCATAGAGATACAAATTATTACCACAAGTATATTCATGCAAGATTGAATGTATAGTGTGTTTCTGGCAGACTTCTGTACAGTAACCTCCATGAGGATTTCTCTCACATGCTCCTTGTTAAAAAGTAGATAAGAACACTTCAGGGAGAGCATACTTAGAAAATCATAGAGCTGGTGCCTCTCAGAAAGTATTTTAAGCAATTCATCCTGCAATTTATGAACATATTTATCACAAATAAATCGTACAATGAAAAAACTTAGATTTCATGGTTCAAACTACTCGTCATAATTCATTTTTCCCCCAACATCAGTGATAAGTTCACTTATGAACTACATCCCATTTAAATTTGAATTTGTCAATATCTTACAACCTACCCGACCACTAGAAGCTTGATGGGAGCTGGTATTGGGATCCATTAGATTCAATAAAATCTTCCAAATGTTAGCGTCTTTAACCCGATCAAGAGTCTGAAAATTCTCTTCAGCCTTCACAGGATCAGAAAAAGAGCGGGACATGGTTTGGAAGCTAAATAAAATTTTCTTTTGTATTTCAGGAGAATCACTATCCTGTATTGAAGAAAGAACCAGTTATTTCAATTTAACAGACCATAGAAGTGTAACTTGTGTGCTTTAGGATACTATTTCATCTCTCAAAGCGTCTAACCTGATGTCTCTGCCTTAGAGAGAGATACCTCTGCATCTCTAGCTGTAACCTGCAATCCAACAAGAAACCCCCAAAACTCAATTTAGAATCCACTATATACAAAATTGAAGAGGAAGTTACTCAAAAACCATATAAGAAAGCAAGTACAATATACCTTAGCTTCTGTTCTAGCATCCTCTCAAGTGACTTGACCTCAATTTTGTCAAACCCAGAGAAAATTCTTATCCAAGTTCTAACTTTATCTCTGATTGAGAATTCAGTAGGAAAGAGGGATCCACATAAAACAGATTCAATTGTATCTGACCTGCAGGGCAGATCTACATGTTACCAGTGCTATATGATGATGCGAGACACACCAAACAAAGAGTCACAGCACAAAGCTCTTTAAATTTTCTACTTGGCATTTTACCATAGGAAAACAGTGTTCACTAAGGTATTAATAAAAAAATTAATAGATTACTAATTCATCCTATTAACTAATTGCAAACACGCTCAGGAATAAATAAATAAATAATCATGAGAAGGAAATTTATACAAACAAGATTTCCAGTCTCTTCTGCATGCCTTTGATTGAAGATATTATTTTATAAAGGGATGAAAATATGGAATACCTCCAACTCAAGCTTATATCAACCCTTCATAAATCTACCATCTTTCCTAATAAGAGATCTAAATGTATTAACTAAATAGCCCCTAAACTTTGAATAATGAAGAAAAACAAAGATAAAATAATGTGATATGTTTTAAACAAGTGCAAAATTAATCCTTGCTTGCAAGCATCTCAAATGACTTACCTAAAATCTTTGTCATAGAAACACCTAAAAATCTTCCCGGGTATCCAATCAAATTCATTATGATTGATCGATCCATCAGAGTATCCAGCACAATAAACTTTGAAGATCTCAGCCAGCCTTTCCATTGTATATTTTTTAACAAGCAGCTGTACATTCCAAACAGAAGAAAAAGTTAATATGCATTAGATAATGATCGCTGGACACAGTAGCGGTAACAACAGTAATCCAAGAAGTACAGGAAATATAACATACAGATTTGTCCCGAAGACGCTCTGCAACTAGTTTTACAGTCCCAACGGGAACAGAAACAAGAGAATGACAAGAAACATCACAAATTACATCCACAACTTGCTTTCGAACATTTTCATCATAGTCTAAAAGCCGATCACAGAGGGCAGCTAGAAAATATAGAACAAAACAAAATTAGCCAACTAGCACAAATAAAAATATATATTAAAAAAAACAAAAGAAACTCACAGATAATTTGAGGAGCCTCAGATCTTGAGGGATCCGACAATAGACAGCTCTTAACATGTTGGAGGACAGACATTCGAACATCAACAACTCTATCACTCAGCCTCTTCAAAAATTCTGAAAATATTGGCTGAAATGCTTCAGATATGCTCGAGCCAGGCAGAGCAAAGAGAGATCCAACCAATCTCACAGCTTTCAAACGAGTGTCTATTTGATCGGTCTGCATATATTGAAAATTACAAACCTCAGAAATTGTTCATCGACTTTGGCCATCTTTGAACTCATTTTCCCAACATAAGACTGAACTATGAAAAATCCATAATAAAGAGGACAAAAAGAAGCCCCCCTTTCCAAAAAGACTAGATCTAACTCTCCAGAACTACAAAGATTTCATGACAAAAAGATTATAAGAATTGTTTCAGAATATAACAAATTTTCTCAAAAACAACAAATAGATGTCTTAAAATGGAGAAAAAATCATAATGCAGTTAAGTAATTAGTAAAAATGAAAAAAAATGATTGTTTGCATACCAACAGCTCTCCCGTGAGGTATGGGACAACTCCTGACAATATCTGAGGAGCACAATGATAAATGTCATAGATAACTTCATGATAGTCGATTTCAATTTTTACTGGCTGATTATCTCCAGACATCACTGAAATAAGAAACTGTTTTATGCCGGTTTCAAGTTTTTCTGAGCACTGCTCTATAATATTCATAGCAAGTCTCCTGGCTGCTTGTGTAACAACCTGAAATATAGATTCCAGAAACAAATCCCCTTCCAATTAAGAATTATAGCTTCTAAGAAATAAATACAGGCAGCAACACAGTCTGTAAGCAATAAGCCGATAGTAAACATGAAATTCTTACACTTCTATTACGACCTAATGCAGACAATATAACAAGTAAAAGATCATCTCGAACATCTTCACTCTCTTCTAACACAACGGTCATGATTGTCTGCATGGATGATAAAACACTTTCTGGATGATCATCCCTGCAATATGCAGTAAAAATCAGTCTTTCATGATAATTCAAAATACAAAGTAGAAAGCTATAAACAACCTGAAGGTTCTTACTGCAAAAGCAATTTAGGGGAAGATCAAACATTCAAGCACCCACTATACCATGAAGAATCACGATACAAAAATGAGACATCTGATGGAGAGAGTGAGAGAGCGAGAGTGCAAGTTTTCTGATGGAAAAGTGAGTGAGGTCCATGGAGGGGGTACTTGGTCTATGTTTGTTGATAATCTTAGTCGGAGAGTGAGCAGAAGAACATTAGGGGAACATTTTAGTTATCATGGCAAAGTCATTAGGATGTTTATTCCATTTATCAATAACAGACCGAAATACAAGGATTGCACGTTTGCGTTCGTTCACTTTGAAAGCAAGGAGGATCTATGCAATGCGGTGGAGAAGATGAATAATGTCAGGGTTGATGGGAAGATAATTTCTGTGTCAGTAGCTAAATATGGCAAGCTATCTGAGATGAAGAGTCGTGAAGGGTTTAGAGCGGGGGGTTCCAAAAGGGTAGAAACAGGTGAGTTGAAAGGCAGAAGAATGACTTCTCCAGCACAAGTGGCAGAGAAAATGGAGAGGATGAATAGGTTCCTTGATGGAAGAACGTATAGAGACACGATAGTTGGGGTGAAAAAAGTTCCAGAGGGTCTTCAAGTAAGCAGTCAAGGGAATAAAAAAGAGGAGAAGAAATCTTTGGAAGTCTTTATCCCGGTGGAAGAGAGAATATGGTTGAAATCTTCACTTACTGGCATTTGTAAAGATATCTTCGAAGTTGACTTTGTGCAGAAAGCCTTACGGAACGAGGGCTTCAATGCGAAAGTGATAAGGTGGGGTTTTGCGAAGAATGCGTGTCTTGTAGTTTTTCAGTCAGTCGAGGAGAGAAGAATTGCAATGGAAGAAAGATGGGAAGCTCTGTCGTTTTGGTTTCAATTATTGGATCCGGTTGTGGACAAGAGGGGCATCCCATTAGCTTATTGTGCGATTTCAATGGTTGGTGTTCCATTAAATTGTTGGTCGGTCCCGTTCTTTTCTAGTTTAGCATCCAGATGGGGCAAGTTAGTTAGAATTCAAGATCAAACTGCACATAGAGTGGATTGCAGAGTGGCACAGTTGTTACTAACGGTTGAGAGTCCATTTGATATTCCCGAACATGTCATCATCAATACATATGGGAGGAAGTTCATGATTAAAATTAAGGTTGAATGTGTGGAGGATTTTTTTCTGAGTTAACAGACATGGAGGAAGAAGAAGTTGCAGAAGACCCATGGGAGAAAAGTTCTTCAGAATGGAGCAATGAAGAAGTGCAAAATAGAAGGGATACACACAAATACCGAGGGGGGTTTGAATTTAAACATAGGTATGGAAAATACGTTTGACCTGTGCAAAGATGTGACTGAGGGAGGTAATGTCTCCATCCAGCAGGAAAAGTCAGAAGATGTTAATGAAGGGAGAGAAAATGGGAAATGTCTGGGAGATCCTCCCAGTGAGCATGAGAAAGTTGACTGTGGGAGTGGGTTTCTTAGGGGCCCGGTAGTACAGGTGAGGAGTGGGCTGGATCAAGAGAAGGAGAGATTAAGCAAGGATTATTGTATTACTACAACAGGATTCAATGTTGTGCAGTATCATACTTCCCTGCAGGAGGGGTCTGTTTCTGTGTCTGCTCAAAAAAATTCTGGATAGACTGTATTTGGGAGTAGAGTGGGAAGGGGTAAGTGCAAACGTGTTTATTCACGATCAAGGAGGGGGGGATCTAGGATCCGTATTGGTACAATTTCGGAGCATGCTTATAATAATGAGGAAGTGGATGGGGCAGAGGCTTTGGAGTGCTGGAACGTAAGTGAATTGTTAGGGGTCACATTTAGAGGGGGGAAAGAAGCTTTTATGAACAAAACAATTCCTTTGATAAAGGAGAGAGAAGTACAGGGGGGTAATTAAGGGGTGATGGAATTCAGGGTTATAGTTGGATTGATGACTAGTTGGAATTTAATGTCTTGGAATATTAGGGGTTTGGGTAGGAGGGTAAAGGCTAGAGTTGTTAGGAGGGTTGTGGAGGAGAGAAAGCCTTTAGTTTTATTCATTCAGGAATCGAAAATGGAAGTGGTAAATCAATCGGTAGTGAGGAAAATGGGAGGAAATTTGTTGACAGCTACGGCAGTTTCAGAAGCTGAAGGTTCTGCTGGTGGTTTGATTACTTTGTGGAATGAAAAAGAGTGTCAGGTTCAAGAGGAGATCATTCATAGGATATTTGTTGCAGTTAAGGGTACTATTGATGAGGTACTAGGGTCTTGTTGGTTCATAAATGTGTATGGACCGAGTGTGGAGTCAGAAAAGGAGGCGTTCTTCGGGGAGTTGCTTTTATTTCTGGAGAATTTAGACAATCCAATCTATCTCAAAGGGGACTTCAACGTGGTTATGTCACAGGAGGAGAAGATTTGAGGTGCAGTGAATTTAGCTTCAATGTTTGCTTTCAGAGAATTTGTGAGTAAAGCTAATCTAGTGGATTTGCCTATGGTTGGAGGTCGATTTACATGGTGCAACAATAGAGAAATTCCAACTTATGAGAGACTAGATCGGTTCTTAGTGGATCAAAGTTTTTTATTAGTGTTCCCCATGATAACACAAAAACTCCTAGAAAGGTCTGTTTCAGATCATAACAGCATCTTACTGGAAAATAGGGGATGGAATTGGGGACCGAAACCGTTTAAATTATTTAATTATGTCATGGAAGAGGATGGCTTTTGTAAGATGATGGAGGGAGAGCTGCACAAGCTATGTAGAGTGGAGAATAGACAACCGATTTCTACTGTATTAAAAGGGGTGCAGGAAGCAGTGAAGAAATGGTCTAGGAAGGGGTATTTAGAGTTTCCCGGGAGAATAAATAGGTTGGAGAAAGGAATTCATGAGAAGGAACTTCAGTTGCAACAAGGTCTCCCCATGGTGTCTATGAAGAATTTAGTGGAAGCAAAGAAAGAGCTGTGGGACTTGTATAAAAAAGAGGAATCGATTTGGCTACAAAAGTCGAGATTGAAGTGGAGTTTGGATGGGGATAAGAACACTAGATTTTTCCACCAATGTGCAAGAGGTAGAGGAAGGAGAAATGGTATCAAATCCATCAAAGTAGACAATGAAGACATTTCAGATCCAGAATTAATTAAAACTTCAGTGGTGCATTTTTTTCAAGGGGTTGTTTAATCAGGAAAATACACTGGAAGTGGAGGAACTAGACCTGGATTTTTTACAACTCTCGGAATAGCAGAGAATGGCCCTAGAGAAGCCTTTTTCTGAAGAGGAAATTTGGGGTGTAATTGCTAACCCGGATAGTAACAAAGCACCTGGCCCGGATGGACTAAATTTAAGTTTTTTCAAGAAGTTCTTGTCAAGTTTGAAGGAAGTTCTGTTGCTGTTTTTTAAGGAATTTTATGAGGGAAAGGACTGGGATAATGACACCAACCACTCTTTCCTTTCTCTTATTCCTAAGAAGGCCAATCCGGAGGGGTTAGAAGATTTTAGGCCAATTAGCCTAATTGGGGGTTTCCATAAAATTCTTTCAAAAGTACTAGCGAGAAGGTTAAGCTTGTGTATTATTGAAGTTATTAGTCCATCTCAATTTGCATTTATACCGGGGAGACACATTTTGGATTGTTCGTTTATAGCAAATGAGGGCATTGAGTGTTGGAGGAAAAAATGATTGAAGGGAGTTGTTTTTAAGGTAGATTTCAAGAGAGCCTAGGATTCAGTTGATTGGAGGATATTGGTGAAAATAATGAGCAAAATGGGGTTTGGAGATAGATGGAGTTCTTGGATGTACAAGTGTATCTCAACAGCTTCCATTTCGATTTTGGTAAATGGCACACCTACAAAGAGAATATACACTACTAGAGGATTAAGACAGGGCTGTTCATTATCTCCTATGCTGTTCAATTTGGGAGGCGAACTGTTACATCTAATGTTGGTGAAAACAGTGAACAGCGGGCTGTTTTCGGGTTTTGAATTAGGCTCGATGGGTCGTTCTTTCATGTTATCACATTTTCAATTTGCGGATGACTTAATAATTTTTAGCAAGGCATCTACTCATGATTTGGTGAATATTAGAAGGGTGCTTTTAATTTATGAATTGTTGGTGGGGCTGAAGTTGAATCTGAATAAGATCAAAATTTTTGGAATCAATGTGGGGGAGGAGGAGTTAGCTTCTTGGGCTAAGGAAATAGGTTGTGCAAGAGGAGCTTTTCCATCGGAGTATTTAGGTCTACCGTTAGGAGCTAAGAGGAATTCTTTTTCTTTGTGGGAACCGGTGGTACAAAAATTTTATAATAGTTTGACTGGGTTGAAGGCAAAGTCTTTATTTTTGGCTGGACGGGCAGTTTTGGTTAAATCAGTGTTGTGCTCTCTTCCAATTTATTACCTTTCTATTTTTAGGATCCCTATTAGTGTTCTCAACAAATTAAATTCTATCATGGCGTCTTTTCTTTGGGGGGATCAACAGAAAAAAAAAGAACATCCATTGGGTCAAATGGGAATTGGTGTGTAAGCCAAAGAAGTTGGGGGGTTTGGGGATTCCAAATCTGTTGCTTTTAAACAGGACTCTTATGGGGAAGTGGGTGTGGAAATTTGCTGCAGAAAAATCCTCTTGGTGGAAAATAGTGGTCTGTTGTGTAAACAATATGGATCCAAATTCAATGATGATCCGGAATACTTGGACAGCACGTACTTCTTGGATTTGGAGAAGAGTTGTTAAGAGCTTCTTTTCAAGTGATGCATTTGGGGATTGTTTTAGGAAAAATTTGTGTGTTAGAGCTGGGAATGGAGAAACGGTGCAGTTTTGGCATGATGTATGGTTGGGTACGGTTCCTCTGAAAGATAGGTTTCCAAGGTTATTTGCTCTGTCGAACAACAAAGGGGGGAAGGTTGCAGAGTTCAGGCTGTATAATGACTCGGGTGGGGTCTGGGATATTCAGACAAGAAGGAATCTGGTGGATTGGGAGGTTGAGCAGTGGCTGCAGTTTATCTCTCTCTTGAACAGTTACCCATTATCATTAGTTGAGGATGATTGTTGGATTTGGTTGGGAACTGGTGAAGGTTGTTTTACAGCAAAATCATGCATGCAATTGTATTTTGATAGAGAGGGTAATGATGAAGTAGAAGGTAATTGGGAAAGATATGTTTGGATAGGGGTAGCTCCACCACGAATGGAAACCTTTGTTTGGCAACTTGCTCATCACAGAGTAGCGGTGAAGGAGGAACTGCTAAAGAGAGGAGTTACTGGGGTGGAAGACACTGTGTGCTCTTTGTGCAGGAAGTGTAATGAGTCGGTCTCACATTTGTTTCTGCACTGTGATATGGTGTGGGACTTGTGGGCTAAGTTCTTAAAGTACTGGAATGTTTGCTTTGTGGTTCTGGCTAAGTTGATGGAATTCTTAATTGCGTGGGATGAGTTAGTTCCAAGATCTCTCATATGGAAGTTTATCCCTAGGGCTGTGCTGTGATCGGTTTGGAAATGTAGGAATGAGGTGATTTTCCAGCAAGGGAAGGTTGATTCTGCATTGTTTTTCTTCATTACAAGGTTCAGAATTGTTTCATGGTTTGGAACTTCATTTAAGGATGTCTATATTCCTTTCGATTCCTTGATGGGGGACTTAAAATTAGCAGACTGTAATGGTAATTTGAATAAGAGGACTCCTCCTCCTCCTAGTTGGAGTCCTCCTCCGGAAGGGTTTTTAAAAGTAAATGTAGATGGTGCAATGGTCAAAGGTTGGGATAAGGGGGGAATTGGTGGATTGATTAGGGATGGGAGCGGTTCGGTGCTTGGGTCGTTTTCAGAGAAGGTAGGGGGAGGTTCTCCTTTATTTGCAGAGCTTTTGGCGATCAAAAGAGGGTTGATTCTTACTGAGGAATTTGGTTACAGTCCAAGCCAGAGGATTATTTTGGAATCAGATTCGACTAATGCTCTAAAGTGGATTAAAAATCCGGACCTTAGTATTCCTTTGTTTAAATCCTTGGTGACGGATATAGCTACTCGTGTGGAAATGAAGGGTATTATCACAAGGCATATTTCGAGAGCTGCAAATTGGGAAGCGGATGAATTAGCAAAAGTTGGTATAGGTTGATTTTTGGGTTTCTATTGTGGTTAGAGGTGTTATATCTTGGCTGTTTTTTAAGGGAGTTATTAGGGTGCGTTATGTATCCAAAGTTGTGGCTTAAAGGTTATGTTGTTAGTAGTTAGTCATGTAGGTGTGGAGGTGTATTATGGTTCTCATTAATAAAAGTTAGAGGCACTCTTTTCCTTCTTCCTATGCCCTTCATGTTATGTTTATAATATGTCGGGTATGAAGGAGGTTTTTAATGAGGCCTTTTTTATCAACAAAAAAAAGCACCCACTATACCAACATACATGCATATACTTTTTTTTATAGAAATTACAGGCCTCATTAAAAATCCCCTTTTTGATTAAAGGAATTCTTGGGAAAGTTACTTAATCATTGGAGGGAGGAAAAGAGTGCCTTAGGATTTTATTGATCAGGGACTCATTACATAAAATACAACCAAGACACACCGTCAAAGCCATAAAAATTACAGAATATTTAAACAAAACTCCCTAAACGACCAAACCTTCCTTAAACAATAACAAAACTTTCCCAGCCCCTTCAGCCTCAATAGACCAAGAACCTGCTAGAAAACCTCTATGACACTTAATAATATTCATCCAATCCCCTGTTTAGCTAGAGAATCAGCCTCACAATTGCAACTCCTCGGGATATGTCTAATAATGATTTCCCTCTCCAAGATTATGGAAGCAATTTTTTGAACCAACGAACTAAGAAAACGAGGAGATGATAGGCGGCAACAAAATCCAATCCACCACTGACTTACAATCACTTTCTATAATTAACCTTCCTTTCAATGCCCAATCCGTCGAAAGGAAGAAATCAATGCCTTTCTCAATGGCTTTCAGCTCAGCGAGTGGAGGAGGACCTAGACCAACAGCGTGCGAGAAAGACCCTAGAATTTTACTATCCGAGTCTCTTAAAATGCCCCCAATACCCCCCAGCAGCCCATCCCCACTAACTGCCCCATCAACATTAACTTTAAAAAAATGAAGTGGAGGAGGACTCCATCCCTGCACCTTCATCCTTTTATGGTCACTACTCTGATGCTTATCTGCAAGTGTAGGATCCCCTACAAGAGAGTCAACCTGAATGGAAACAATCGGGTACTTGGCTAGGAACCATTTAACCAATCTGAATCTGCATATGAAGAAAAGAGTAGATCTGTCCAGTTTCCAATCTTCAAAAACCACCGAGTTTCTAGCCTTCCATAATGACCATAGAACTACCCCCGGAATAAGGCTCCATATAATTGACTTAGGCCTTAAGTCCGACCAAGAACAAAGCAAAGAGACTGGATCTTTAGGCAATACAGACGAGACTCCCCATAACCTCCAGAACTTGCTCCATACGTCCCATGCAACCAAACACGATATGAACAAATGCTGAACTGTTTCCTCCTGTTTAGCACAAAAAGGACAAAAGACCTCCTCCAAATGAACTCCTCTTCTAATCAACTCCGTTCTAACTGCCAATCTTTGATGAGCAACTTGCCAAAGAAAGGTTTCGACCCTAGGAGGAGCCAAACCTGACCAAACAAACCTTTTCCACATGAAATGACCCCCTGAGTTGGAAGAAAGGGTCAACCTACAAGCTTTAGCAGTGAACAATCCATCTCCTTTCCCCGACCATGCCAGAAAATCTTCCACCGAATCCGAGAGACCGACATTCTCCAATAATGACATCAAGAGAATCCAGTGATCCATCTCCCAATCGCAGAGATTCCTTCTCGTCTGAATGTTCCAAATCAATTTGTTCCTCATTAGACTGCCAAACTCTGAAACTTTACCCCACTTATTATTAGAAAGAGCGTAAATCCTTGGAAATTGATTCTTTAAGGAATCCTCATTTAGCCACACATCATGCCAGAAATCAATCGACTTTCCATTGCCAATTTGAATCTTCGAGTGAGATCTCAAACCATATCCAATTTCGTCCTCTGCCAAAAAATTCTTTGTAATACCCTTCCATATCCAAGAATCCGACGGAGAGACTGCCTTGTTGAGGTCTAAGGACTGGATGCTCACATTATGTCTGCTGCAAATCATGTTCTTCCAAAGTGAGTCTTTTTCATTTCCGAACTTCCACACCCATTTACCTAGCAGCACTCTATTGGCGAAATTCAAATCCAAGATTCCCAAACCACCTTCCTCTAAAGGTTGACAGACCCTTTTCCAATTCACCCAGTGAATTCGGCCCTTTAAAGGACCCTCCCAAATCTTGGCCACTAAACTAAAGTGAAATACTAAGACCAATACCAAATCATACCATAGAGCCCTTTCAAATTTCTACATTCGACAATAATAAAAGCATTCATGTTACTTGCAAAAAATATTTAACAATAATGAGTAAAAGGTACTAAACATTTTATTAATCAGATATTCAGATTATCATATTCAAGATCCAAGATCACAAAGCAAGCACTTCCCTCAAAACAATAAATAAATACTGGAGCAAAACATACCTGACAACAGAAAAAAATGTATTCAACATTTCATTAACCAAATCATCACATTCAAGATCCAACATCACAACACAGGATCTATATTTCGCAAGAGTCTCCAAAATTACAACTCTCCTTCCAAATGATGGACCACTAGTATCGCTCAATCCATTGAAAGTTCCAACAATCAAGTTAAAAATATCCTGAAAGCATGCCACAAATCAACCAAAAGATGTTCAGTTGAAAAATTATTAGTTTCTAAGAAAATCAAGAACAAAAACAATAAACCTTCATGAAAGAAAAAGCACCTTTAGAATATCATCACTATAAGGCGCTTCAGGCGCAGTTATCCGAGTTATCTCACAAATACAGGTTGCAACTAGGAGTTTGGCTTCCCGATCTTGATGATTCAGCAATTCTGGCTTGACAATCGCATTAAGCAGAGGTTGCATTGATTCCAATATTGATGATGGTGGAGACTGGTTAATCTCAGAGAGACATGTAGCAACTTGCTGCGGATTAGAGGGAAAACATTCATGATATATGCCAAATAACCAAATTAAAAGACTGCAGCTTATTTTGATACACATAATATATATGAATTCACAAGTCCAATCATCCAACAACAACAGGATGTACAAGATTCATGAAGTAATACATATTACCACAGACCCGACCATCCAAGCACATAGGTCTGATGCCAGATGTGTTTAAGTAAAATGATAAAGAACATGTGAATTACACAAGAATAAAGAAAATATAGGAAAATATCTTTCCTACCATTAAGAATTATCAACCAATGCCATGTCACATCATGCCTTTAAAATAATTCGGAAAAATGAAATGCACAATCAGTGATTCAAACAAACTCATAGATAAAAATATCTAATCTTTCCACTAAGCCACCAATAATTTGAGTCGATAAAAATAAAAGAACTATCATCTTTCATGAATAACAAGATATCTCTTCATGTCATAACAAGTTCACCATTAGAGATTCCGAGCACCATGTGAGACCAAAATAAAACCAATCCATATTCGACAAAATCTCTTTGGTCTATGTTTGGATAAGACGAGTTCTTTGAATAGCTAGTTGCTATTGATTGAGTAAACTAACTACTCCACTGACAGACATTTGTTTTATCGACAGAAACTTAATCATTCACAAACAGAAGGAACAAAACAATGATGTTTAGTCAAGTTCAATGATGAGAAACGGCTATTTGAGTTTGCAAAAAGTAATTCAATGTAACAGAAAATGAATCAAGAAAGGAGGGAGGGTAAGACAACATTTTACATGGATTAACATTGGTAAAGATTAGTTAGCTTCCATAGAGCATTTTAAGGATGAAACCCACAAGTTATCAGGATGTAGAAATTTAATTAATGCAGTCAATTGAACTAATTCCAAATCTAGGTTGACTTCTTTTAAGGTTGATTATGTTTCACCACAATACCCCTTAAAGCCCTTTGCAAACCATGATGACAATTCCAAACTAAGGCCAAACCCACAGTACACATTTTTTTGCCTTGTTACACAAAACGAGTGATTGGTGGTGTAATCCTTGAAAGGCACCAAAACCAAAGATTTACAGCCTAATTATGTTCTTGAAGTATGGAGGTTATCGATCATTCAAAGTTGTAGGGGGAAAGTAAAAAACAGTCCAGGTCTCGAGGCTAGCACATTGCAGCTTGTTTAGGTCCTGGTTCACTGCCTAGAAGAACCATAATGTTTGAAGATACAACTACTAGGGACAAGAACAATATAACATTCTAATACAGTCACTAATAGCTTGAATTAACTCAAAAGAACGGTTGACCTAAATATCATATCATATAGCAAATTAAGGGCATAAAAAACAAGTGGAAACTCAAGTTGGCAGGAAATATGAGGGAGGTAGCATGTAACAAAGGAGAAACCTTGTGAATTGTGTGAACAACCCTAATTCAACCAATTAGGAACGAACTTTAGCTACGCAATCTAATTCAGGTAGAACAGGCGGTTACAACCCTAAAACCTAAAATAGTAAGGGAAGGAAAAAGCTTAGGCAAGAATTAACCCTAGCGAAACTAGGAAGTTCAGTGTAGAAGTAATAAAGTAGAAGAATGCGTGCCTTTAAAAGCTTGAGAAGGATGTCCTTGGCGGATGGAGGAGATTCCAACTTGGATCCCAGCTCCTTGAGCTGCTCTTCCAGCTTCTCCGCCATTTCCTACTAGCAATTTCTGCTCGCAAGGCAAGGCAAAGCAAAGCAGCAGTAGCAGCTTCAGCTTCGTCTCCTGCTCACTCTCGCTGTGTAGCTCTCAGTATCGGTTGAATAGTCGCGAACTCGATAAGATGGAGATAGGAAACAAAAAGGGGAAAAGTTGGGTTTTGGTGTTTTATGGCACTTGCTCTCGCCCCGCCTCTGGGTTTCAGGGATTCGAAGTTCCACGCCTCAAATCAAATGAGCTCTAAATGCAACTTAAATTCCCCTCCAAATGCTGATTTCAGCTTTTGTACGTGTAATTTACATAAGATCTTTCTTTTTCATTAAAATTTGGCTCGTGGACTTCAAGTGGGACTTATCCCATTTCATAATACTACTATATTTTATTATTATGAAAGAGCTTCAAATGTATACTACTTCCTAAAATGATTTGTCTCATAATAAGTTGTGAAAATAAATTATAGTTTCTGAAAGAAAAAAATTTGAATCCATATATTTTAAACTTTTGACCTGATTAAAAATTAAATATTTGAAAAATACATTTTATTAATTTTATTGTCTTAAATTTTGTTTAATTAATATAAATGTCTAACGTTTTAAAATTATCATTTAAGGTGTTTAATTTTTTTAATGATTTTATGAATTTAAGCTTTTTTTTAATTTAGATATTTAAAAATGATTTTTTCTTTTCTAAAATTTAATTAATTTGAGTTTGTGGATTGTATGTAAAGATAAAATAGTAATTGATTAATGGAGAATGACAGTGCAAGGGGATGGACAATAGTGATTGGTTTGACGATAACAAATGAATTTTGAGATTAGAGATTTGTGAATTCGAGGTTATGGATCTATACATTTTAAAGATTTTACGGAATTTAAAAAAAATGTGTTTATGTTTAGAAAAACAAAATAAATTAAAAGTTGTGAACATATTTCATGCATTCTTTAGAAGATAATATTTTTATGAACATTAATGATTTGATTCTAAAATTATAATAGAATAAAATACTAGATGCTTAATAAAAAGTGAACACTTAAAAAACGTAGTTTCACCAACAACAAGTTGATTTAGTAGGATAAAGCATTAGATCCCCTAAGTAAGATCAGGGGTTCGAATCCTGACGATTAGCAATACCCGATCCAGATTAGTCTATATATAGATCAGATACTGATGATTGTAAAAAAAAACATAGTTTGGACAGATGATTTAATAAATAGTCGTATTGTTATCAAGAGATTCATGACTAATTATTATTATTAATAATTCAGGATAATTAATAAATTATTAGATATTATTATGAAATATTAAAATATTTAATTAACCAGTGAAAACCATTTGCTTATCCAAGAGTACTGAGACTTCCTTCTTCTTTGCTTCTTTTTTACTTTCATACGATTTATTGTTCCACATGAATCTATTTTTAATATTTAATTATACTATTTTTTTAAATTAAGAACAGCGAAGTATTCATTGGTAAAGAATTCAACATAAACACAGTACATGCGAGACAATTCTAGCTAAACACTCTCAACAAGTGAGAACATGGACCCACTCCAAAGAAAAACAAGACACATAAACAATAAACCAGAAAATCACCAAATAAAATAAGCAAGATCACAGGACTCTATTTCAAGCGAATCGCCAATCCTGCTGTTTGAAGATGAAGTCGGACGATTATATCATGCATGAGATTATATAACGAACACTAAATGAGATTATGCCAAGGACTTTAACTTCACTGCCTTTAAATTCAATCCAAATCTCTTAGGTTTTCAGAGACTCTCGAGTCAGTCAGTCACGTAAAGGGTGAGCCTCACTCCTCACCTTCTTATGGCTCCTTTAATAAACTAAAAAAAAATTCTCCTAACTATATGATTGAATAAAAATAATAATAATTATCACTTGAATTGATGTTATCAGTTTGAACATACAAGTAGCTTAATAAAGTAATGACGTGAACCTCAAATTTGAATAGAGTAGAAGGACTAAACCATATTTAAACAAATATTAAATGATAGGAGTAGGCAAATAACCCCATCCGAAGCTTGACCAACTTCACACAGTTGATCCTGCCCATGCAACTCCAAATCCAACGTACAACACACGTCTCTCACTTTGACCGTCTTTTGTTTTGCCTGTCTCTTACCTCATTATAGTTTGAGAAACACAGGGCAGATCAAATTCAAGTAGGTGATTGGTGAAGATGAGAAGCTTTTCCCTGACGAAGATGGTCCTTCTTTCATTGTTCCTTGAGCAGAGTTCATTAATGGCGACGGACGACATCGTCATTAGGAAGCCAAAATCACATGAGTTGTCGAGCAGAGATGAGCTGGTGCATATGGCAACTTCGTTCATGGCCCATTTCAGGTTTCACTTCTGCCATTTCATATCTATATGTTCTTTCATCTTTGCTTTTATCATCTAGGAGTATCTTAATTGCCTGGTTTTGTTAAATGCTAATTAGTTGTTCATGTATAGGGGCTATGGTGATTGTTAAATGTGAAACTCCATGTAAGACCTTATCGTACACGACACAAGCCACAACAGATGAATACGGAGATTGCATCTTCGATCTTCCATCTCACCTCCACGGAGTTATCAATTTGGAAAAGGTATGCTCTGTTAAAACCATTCAAATACCGAAGAAGTCGATGTGCCGTACGGCACCGGTGAAGAAACACAATGCCTGAAACTTTCATCGTTCCGAAACCACATACGCAATTATACCGTCGGAAAGACAAGGTTCCAGCATATGACATCTAAACCTTTGAAATCCTGCATTAGAAAGGCTACCAATACAGCAAAACAGATAGCTTAAACGAGGGAAACACTTGGGATATATATACATGATATATTTGGCACCTGCATGACTCATTTAGATGGAACTTCAGTCACAGTATTGAGTTCTAAAACTGCAAATCATCTCCTATAATACATACATACATACATTGTCATATTATTTAGCAATATTTTGTAAAATTCTATCACATGGACAATTTAATAAAATATATATTTAAGTAATTTTATAGTTCAATAATTAAATGTATAATATTATATTTCCTTCAAATATAACTTTTATAGGGATATAGTATCAACTAACCTTATATTCTAATAATCCTATTTGTAGAGTTAATATTGCACTAAAATATCTATAAGGATATATTTGTGTGAGATAACCTTTTATAGGGATATAGAATCTCTAAGAAAATTTTGCATCGTCCTGTCACCAACTTTTTTACTAACCCTGTGTTGCAGTAATTAGCAGTACGGTACCACACGTGGACTCGGATTGGATTCCTTCCCACCTAATTGCTTCACCACTTATGGACCACTCCATTAGACTGGCCTACCATTTTGTTGCTTCCCTCATGCCGATAAGTCGTTTTCTTCCCCCACTTCGTTCAATTCTTTATGAATTCATCCATGGACAACAATTTGTTGCATTGCCTTGGTAGTGTTCTTCATTTCGATATTTTGAATCCTTAAACACCTATCTGGGTTTTACTATTCCTAATTATCATATCTGAATCTTATCATACATTTATTCTGAATTTAATAATATGAGATTTATTCCAACATGTTTTATCGAATTCACAATGGTAGCAACTTTTTTGCATAAGCATAATATAAACAACAGCTAAATATCCTTTAAAAAAACAATCGCTAAATTTCATGAAGTTATTTTTTAAATAATATCACATAATCAAATTTTTAAAAATATATATTATTTACATATATCTCATAATTAAGTCACGAATATTTAATTAATCATTATTGTTCCTAGAGGTTATGGGTTCGAGCATCAACTATTTTAATAGGGTGATTGAACGATTATTATTAAATGATTAAGAATATTTAAAACATATATTAATTTATAATCAATTTAATTTAATAATAAAAATATAATAATTGTAATAATTATTGTTAAATACTTTTTTTTTGTTTTTTTAATAAAAGTAAGAATAGATATTATATAAGCAGAGCTGAAAAGCGAAGGGGAAAGGGTAAGCCAGGCATTAGGCATTACAGAAGGACAGAAGAAGAAGGTGTGTTGGGGGGAGGGGTGAAGCTCATAGTTTTATAGCCCTAAAACCTCCAAACCAAAACATAAACCAACTGAGAATCAAAAGGCTTTGTTAAACGATGACGTGACCTACATCCATTCATCCCCCATTCCAGATCCCCCCTCACTACTTCTTCGACACTCCTAACTCATCCCATAATTTTCTTAATTCTCTATCTTTTTAAAAAAAATCCGATTTCTGCATCTGGATTTTTCCTCTTCTTTTTTAAAATTACGGGCATCTGTTATAACGGGGGAATTATGAATCAATTGTGAGATTCTGTGAGTGGTGGGAGTTTGGGTTTTCTCTATTTTGCCTTGTTAATTATATAATACAAAAAAAAGGTGATAAATTGATCATCAATAAAGTGGCAATAATTAATTTTAATAATTTAGAGGAAAAAATGGGGAATGTGAATGGAAGAGAAGATGGGAGTAACAGTCCATCTGGGTTTGAAGAAGAAGAAGAAAAGGGTAACGGTATTCTCGAAGCTTTGGCTGCACCCATGGGTCACTCACCTCCTCACAGTCCCACATCCACCCAGTCACCTCTCATGTTTACTCCTCAGGTACCTTTTTTTGGTGGATTTCATTGATTTTATTTTGTTGCATGGGATTTTGGCGTCTTCGTATCATGTATATATGTCCTATGCATAAAATTAAGGTAAAAACAATGGTTATGAAAGTGGAATTTTAATTATTTTTTTATGGATCTATTTTATTACTTATTTGTTTAATTCTAAGTATTATGAGGTAAACTAATTAGTAAATATTTTTAACAAATATCGTGAATTTTTGTTAAAAACAATGTAAACAGAGTTAAAAGCCAAAACTTTAGACTTACAGAACTTATAGTTAGATCAATGTTCCATAATTGAAAAGATTTCAAGATTCCATGTAAACAAAGAATCAAAGCTCTTAAATTTATATTATGATTATAAATTTTGATCTGTGGTTTTCAGGTAAATGAAGTGTTTAGATTATTTATACTCGAGTATTCGACTTAGCGTTTGCCGCATGGTTCCTCTCATTCGAAGAGTGGATCTTTGGTGCCTCCTTCCCCAACTAGAAAATATATAATATATTTCTCAACATTCATTCCTAGGTTGTAGCTAATTCCTTGATAA